TTTGTAGCTCCCCAGGGATTAGATACTCCCTGTAGTATCTCCACATAACCCAGGAGGCCTTTGGCCATCTCCCAGTTGCTGAAGGGCTTCCCTGTGTCGTTCTGTCCCCTCTCAGTCACTCCCAGGACTGTGCACCCCACTGCTGCTGCCCTCCAGAGACACCAGTGCTGCTGCAGGATGCTCCAGCTCCTCAGTACCCAAAACTGGAGTGCCAGTTCAGAACAGTTCACTGTTCTCCTAAAAATCACCTTCAGCACCAGAGAATTAAGGGAAATAAAATTTAGGGGGTGGTTAATCGCTGTCTCCCGATTAATACAGAGCCTAAAAGATGTGAGCCTAAAAAACGAGAGGGGGAAATAAAATCATTCTGCCAAGCTGTGCTGTAGAAAAGCTCTAAAAGGTGTTTTTTCTGTCTCTGCTAACAAGCTGTCACGATGCTTAGAAAGCCTCATGGGTTGTCTACGGTGAGTTGAAAGTATTTGGATTTTACTGTGGTAAATATGGGTTTGGTTTGTGTTTTTTGCTGTCTCCTGGAAGATGAATCCCTCTGAAGCATTCATGCTTTCTGGGAGACAAAGGCCTGTTTTGTGACTAGCTCATCAGACAAGTTGGCAGAGTGTCCGTGGTGCTGTTTGAGGTGGTGTTGGGGCTCTGTGCAGGCTCCACTGCCAGGCTCGGGCTGCCTGGATTTCACTCCCTGCATGGTGGCTGTGTCTTGTGAACCTGCAATGGGACTGTCCTTTGGTGTTCCTTTAGCTAAAGGTTCGGTTGTTCTGTGCAGATCCCACTGAAATAGCTGTGACTCTCTCTTCCTTTCAGATCTATCTCTCCCAGACTCCTCTGTGCCCTAACCCTGTGTTCGACCTGATGCTGAAGTGCTGGAGCAGGGATATCAAAGACCGTCCCACTTTTGACATGATCCACCACTTCCTGCTAGAACAATTGGAATCAAACATTTGACTCCAGAAAGAGAGGCAAACTGTCGAGAACAGAGTGACTTTTGGGGTCTCTTTGCCTGTTGCTCACAGAAGATGGCCAGGCCACCTCGCTCCCCTCCCCGACTGGGCCCTATTTAAGTTGAGACGTCCATGGCAGCTGCTCGTTCTCTTGGCCATGGTCTGACACACAGGACCAGAGGATCTCGTTTGGTTGAAAAATCATCTCCTCTTCTGAATCATTTCCTGGGAATACTGTGAGAGGGGGTTTTATTGGATACTTCAGGCGAAAGGAATGAGTCAAACTTGGAGGGACTTGGAGCTCTCTCCTGGCTGGAAGAGAAGGCGCCGGTCGGCGAGAGCCACCGGAGAACAGGTTTCTGGAAGGAAAGACTTGAGCCTTCTAGAGCTATTCCATTAAATCAGATGGAAGTCTTGTGCACATTAGCAAGTGTTTCTGTGTGCCCTCACTACACACGGCAGTGAGAGGCCGGAAACGTCTGGAGCTGGGAAATGGTTTAACGGACTCGGGAACTGACGGAGCATTTTAGCAACCCTTTGGGATTGTAGACGCTGCCAGGGTCTACAGAGGATGCTGAAACAAGAGTCCAAGATGATGTTCTGTTTTCCTGTGGTTGTTAAGCACTGCTTTGGTTATATATGTGCATTTTTCCCCACACTGGATTTTTTTTTTTTTTCTAGAAAAAAAAATTAATTTTGAAAATGAATGTTTAAAGGGTCATGGGAAGGTCCCTGCGGTAGAAGATCTTCCCCTGCCCTACAAATTAAGGCTAGGTAGGGAGTTTGTATTGAGAAGTAGCTGATACTGTACTACTGTCACTATGTAGATTTATTAACCTAATGAACTTGTAGCCACAATGGACTGATGTGCAATTAATCCTGTATAATTACCCATCAATATGAGATCTCTAAGTCAATGCTGTTACGTGTGAGAGGGAACTCAGATTTGGTGAAAGCGGGTGGCTGAGAGCAGAGCCCTCTTTGTCACTTGTCACAGCTCCCGGGGAGGGGCGGGAGCAGCACACGGGGCACCCGCACGTGTGTGCCCGGTGTCAGGGGTTCCTCCCCAGCTCTGCAGCAGCCTCATGCCATCAGCTGGGCAGGGGCAGCTCGGCCAGGCTCTCTCACTGCCCCCTGCCCCGGGAGCTGGGCTGGCACATCCCCTCAGGGGGGTCTGTCCTGTGTTTTGGGTGCTCCCCGCGCAGTGCGGGGCCGGTTCCTCCTTGAACTCGGGGTTGGTTTGTGTGTGGTGCCACAAACAGCTCATTCTCTGGAAGGTTTTAGAGGGCTCTGAAATCCATTTGGAGTGAGTTAGAGAGTTCAGTGTGTTTCTACAATAAATCCATTGTGGATTTACCAGGTGCCTGGGGATGCTATTCCCTCTTTAATTGTTTAGCGAGATACTTAGGACCAAACCAAACATTTCATAAGCTGGGAGAAGATGAAAGCTCAGCACTTGGCTTTTTGGTTTTTTGGGGTTTTTGTTTTTTTTTTTAAAGCAGCATCCAACATAGCATATATTTCCAGTAAAGATTAAAAAGATAATTTTTATCTTAGCCACAAGCACAGATGCCCGGCTGTCTGTGCTGGGAGCTCTGAGAGAGGGCACTGCTGAGAGGGAGGCAGTGTCTGAACAGTTACAACACAGGGATAATTGTGTGGAGAGAAAAAACCCTGCCTCTGAATTGGCAGATGCCAGGCTGGAGCGTGGCATGGCTGTGTCTGCTCCCTGGGCACATCAGACTCCCTTGGGAAGTTTCCCAGCCCAGGAGGGGCCGTGCCCGGGGTGTCCTGTCCTGGCTGTGTGGGGTGTCCCCATCTGAGCTGCTCCTCTGAGCCCCTTCATGGCTGAGCAGCTGGAAGGCCCAAGACACCTCCTGTTCCCTGCCCAGGTGAAGCTCAGCCCCAGTTCCTTGCCCTGTGAGCGGAGGGGAGCTGCCATTCCCTGTGTGTGCCACCTCTCCAGAGCTGGGTGGTGGGAGCTGGAGTTGCTGCAGCCTGTTGGGCACCTGGCAAACCACTCAGCCGTGGTATCTCTGGAGTGTCTGCCCTGTCCCAGAAAATGTACCCCAGTACCACAGAGCCCTGTGCGTGGTCCCCTGTGCTGTAAAGTCACCAGACAGGCTCTGTGCTCCTGCTCCGTCGGGATGTGCTGTTCCTCCAGTGACAATGTTGACATACCAAGTTTCTCTCATATCAATAAATTCTAATGATAACCTTGACAAAAGTGAATTTCTGCTTCTTTTTTTAGCCAGGTGTCTGCCCTGAGCACTGATATTTTGGTGGGATTGTTCAGGAGCTCTTGGGTAAGTGTGTGACCCCCAGATTTGGAGGGAGCAGCCCTTGACCATCTAAAGAAATGAGCTTTTAGGGAGTTTCTGGAAATGCTGGAAAGGTACCAGCCCAAGGCCCCTCAGGCAGGTGGGACCTGGAATGCTCTGGGGTTGTTGGTTGGTGCTGAATTTCAGCAAGCAACTTTTCATCTTAGTGGTAAAATCAGATGCTTTAGGCTTTGTAGGTCCCTTTATCAACCTGTCCACTAAAAGCTGAGCTAATTTCAAAGCTCCTTTGGGCTGCTCTGGGCCTGACCCATCCAGGCTTTGAAGATCTCCGAGGCAGGAGATGCCACCCCCTCCCCTGACCCTGTGCCAGGGCTGTTCTGTGCCCACAGAGGAGAATTTTTCCTTGTGTCTGCTGGGCCTTCCCCTTGTGTTCTGTGCCTGTTCCCTCTTGGTCTTCCACTGTGCACCTCTGAGAAGAGCCATCCTACCCCTGGCACACCCATCCACCCTGTGGGCCTCACATCTGCTGATCAGAGCTCAGGTACTTGGGCAAACTCAGATGCATTTTATAAAGGCTGGAAATACCAGATCTCTCAGTTTAGGCACCCAAGGACAAGAGTCAGGCAGAATTTTTATACCTTCAGATACAATTTTGGGGGAATTGAGGCACCTAACAGGTGAGAACAACCCTAAATACTCAACAGGTTGCCCAGAGAGGTGGCAGATTCCCCATTCCTGGAAATGTTCAAAGACAAGTTGGACAAGACTGAGCACCCTGATCCAGTGGAAGGTGTCTGTGCTCACTGCAGGGGGGTTGGACTCAATGGGCTTTAAAGGTCCCTTCCAGCCCAAACTATTCATTGGTTCTGTGATTTAAGGATTCTGTGGTTTCTGGTAAGCAGCTTTGAAACCTTCAAGTGATTCTGCAGCCACATGGCCAAGCTCTCCAAGGCCAGGGGGGACTTTGGCAGTGAATGAGGCTGGTGACTGGTACTGGGGTTGGTGGAAACGATGCTGGTGCCAAACAGGCATGGGGGGATCTTTGGCTTGGGGACATCTGGGCACAGTTGCTGTGGAAAGCCAGGAAAGCTTTTTTGCAGGGCAGGTGGTGGTGGGGGCAGGTTTAGATCAGATATTGGGAATAAACTGGTCCCTGTGAAGGTGGGCAGGCCCTGGCACAGGTTACCCAGAGAAGCTGTGGCTGCCCCATCCCTGGAAGTGTCCAAGGCCAGGTTGTTCGGGGCTTGGAGCAGCCTGGGCTGGTGGAAGGTGTCCCTGCTCGTGGCAGGGTAGTTGGAACAAGGTGATTTTTATGGTCCCTTCCATCCCAAACCATTGGAAGGTTCTGGGCTGTTCAGTGAACAGGAGCCCCGTGTTCTTCAGCTGCAGGGGGGAGAGAAACCCACCACACACAAGACAGCTACATGGGAATGGAAGAGCCTTTATTCTGCAGGGAACTGGCAGGGAAGGGTCACATCCTCAAACAGCCACACTGGGAGGGCAGTGAGGAGCAGGGAGAGGAGGGCTGAGCCTTCCCCTGAATCCCTGAGCCTGTGCCTGGAGGTTTCTGTGGCAGCAGAGCCTGTGGGCAATGCTGGCCTGGCCAGGCCAGGGGGGAACAAAGAGCTGTGTCCAGGAGAACCTGAGGAGTTCTGTGCTGCAGATGGAGCTCTGTCAGGTGCTGACATCACAGAGGTTCCCCTGGAGACCACTGGGGCTGTGTCTCCTTCCCCCCTCCACCACCACCAGAAGTAACATCACCATGGCAGCCTCCAGGGGGAACAACATCTTCCCCAGAAACCCCTACTACCTCCCTGGGTAAGTGCTGAAGTTCATCCAAAAGGTCCATTTCCAGTGCAAATGGCTCTGGCTGGGATCGTGTAGTATTTGTGACTCATGATGTTTTGGGGTTTTTTTGTAAAGACTGTTAAATATTCCATGTAACATGGACCTTCCAGCAGGGTAGAATTGCAGACCATGGCAAAGCCAAAATTGTTCTCCCACTTTTTTTTGTTTTGGTTTGGTTTTTTTGTTTGGTTTTTGTGGGGTTTTTTTTGTTTGGTTGTGTTTTTTGGGTTTTTTTGTTTGGTTGGCTTTTGTTTTGTTTTTGTTTTGTTTTGGGGTTTTTGTTTGTTTGTTTGTTTGTTTCCGTTTCTTTTAAGCTGCAAAATGTTACCACAGCTACTGTGCAGGCTTCCCAACTCTCATCATTTTTGCATCCAGGATTTTTGAAAGTCTCCTTTGAGTAAATAGTGGCATAGACATGACACTCTGTGGTCAATGGGCTGGACCACGGTCCTGCTGCCAGGCCTGGAATGAGGCAGGGACTGGGGATGCTGATGGGCTGGTCCACAGTCCCCTCTAAAGGCTTGGAAAGAAGGAACCAAGCTGCCATGGGTAAGAGGGAAGGAGTTACAGGGAGAAGGTAGGACAGGAGTGGCAGGAACAAGGGATGGGCTTCAGTGGGAACAGAGGAGTTGTGTGGGGGGTCCTGTGGTCTGAGAGATTTGTGAATGGGTTGGGAAGGGCTGGGCAGCCCCTGGGGGAAAAGCAGCTGCTGTTGGCACAAAATCACTCAGATTGGCCCAGCCTGAGGTGGGCTGGTGCCTGACCAGGCCTGGCACAGGGAATGCCAGCCCTGTCCCCTCTGGTGCAGGGCAGGTATGGGCAGGAGGCAGATCCTGAGCCACTGATAGAGGGTGGAGCACATTCCCTTAAGCTCTGCTCCTGCAGTGCTGATCCAATCAGTCCTCCCCATTGCAGTGACATGCAGGATTTTTCCATTACTGATCTCTGTACCTTCCACACTTACATAAGCTCTGGGGTTGGGGTTTTTTGGCATATTTTTGCATTGCTGTGGCCATCTGATGTGATTTTCTGTGTGTGCTGTCAAAGCCATGTGCTGGCAGGGGCTTGGGAAAGGGGAGGAACAGCAAGGAGGGGGCTGTGGCTGGGCTTGCACCCCCAAAAGCCTCCAAACCTTCCCTTGCCTGTGGCAGCTGCCCCAGGAACAGCTCCAAGCCCCAGCACAGACACAGCAGCTGGGGCTGCTCCTCTCCAGGGCTGACACAGCTCTGAAGGCAGGAGGAGCAGCCAAACTCTGCTGCTGCATTTCTTGGGGCTGTGCAGGCTCCCCCCAGCCCTGTGGGTGCTGAGGGTGCTGCTTTGCATCTGCTTTGGGTGGCTGAGGGCAAGGAGGAGCTGCCTGAAGGGCACTGCCAGAGCCCAGCAGACAGTGCTGTGTCACAGATGTCACCAGTGACATGTTCTCCATGTGCTGCTGAACCCACCAACACCATGAGGGTGCCAGAGCAGGTTGCTGTCCCTTGGGTCAAGTGCCACGTCCTGCACTTTGGTCACAACAACCCCATGGGCTGGGGACAGACTGGGGGGAGAGCAGCCAGGCAGGAAGGGACCTGGGAGTTTGGATTGACAGGAGGCTGAACATGAGCCAGGGGGCCAAGAGGGCCAATGGATCCTGGCCTGGCTCAGGAACAGAGTGGCAGCAGGAGCAGGGAGGTGATTCTGCCCCTGTGCTGGGCACTGGGGAGGCCACACCTCGAGTGCTGTGCCCAGTTCTGGCCCCTCAGCTCAGGAAGGACATGGAGGGGCTGGAGCAGGTCCGGAGAAGGGCAATGAGAGGGCTCAGCCATTGGAATGGGCTGCCCAGGGAGGGGGTGGAGTCCCCGTGCCTGGAGGGGTTTGAGCAGAGCCTGGATGTGGCATCAGTGCCATGGGCTGGGTGACAAGGGGGGTTGGTCTCGAAGGTTTTCTCCAACCTGGTTGATTCTATGAATGGTCACAGCAGGAGTCTGAAAATGCCAATGCTGTGCTTGAGAGCTTTGGGAAGCCTTTACCCAACGAGTGGGATGGTTTGGGATGTTGGTGCACAGAGAAGGGGTCAGTCCATGAATCCTGGGCACAGCCCTGCCCGGGCTCTGCAGAGCTGGGAAGGGTTTGGAGCTGAGTGAGGATGGGCCCAGGGCCAAGGTTCTTCCCTGAGACCAGGGAGGCAGAGCAGGTTTGGGTGTCACAGTCTGGGGAGTGGTGATGGGAGAGATAGGGCTGAGCAAGAGCAAAGGGAAAGGGGCTCAGCCTTGGGCCAGGGGGTTGTTACTGCTCTCCAGCGAGGCCTGAGAGCACCCACTGCAGCTTGAACTGGAAAAATGGGGATCCCTTGGGGTCCTGCATCACAATCCCAGCACAGGGGCACAAACAGCCCTGCTGAGGTTGGTCTCTTCCCCAGGCTTTTATCAGCAGCACTGGAACTCCCTCCCTGGCAGGTCCCTTCTCCGGGCACCCAGACTGACTCGCTGGGCTCCTCAGGTTACTCCTGTTTAATTGCTGGGCTATGGAATCCTCTCTCAGCCCAGCCATTACTTTTGCTCATGATCAGAATCCCCTCCAGCCACCCTGTAATTACCCAGGCTGTGTCATTTGTGCTCTTGCTCAGCTTTATCATCCCGGTGCTGCTTCCCCGTGTTGCAAGAACTCCTTGGGAGCCCCTGGGGCTGAGCCATCGAGCTGCTCTGGGGAGGGATCCTGCATGCAAAGTGGGGAAACCTGCCCAGTGTGAATGCACAGCTCTGCTCGCTGCTGCCTAAACTATTTGGAAGGGAAAGTACTTACTCATCATCTTATGATCCTCATGCATCAGCTGGCTTTGTCCCCAGATCCACCACGCTGGGCCCATTGACTGAGTGTGTCTGTCTGTCCACTGCCACTGGCAGCTCTGCCTGCCTTCAGTGGTGGAGTAACATCAGCATTAGGAAATCTGAGACAGGAGTAGCTGAAGTTTCTCGTGGTGACTCGGAGCAGAGCCAGAGCTCCAGCACCTGCCCTACCCTCGGCCACCCAAAATCACACTGCCTTGTGCCAGGGCTGAGAGCAGAGAGGTAGCACAGAGATCCCCAAAAAATCAGAGCCCAGGGCTCATGAACTGAGTGGAGAGGGGTGGAGGGTCCAAGCGAGGAAATTTTCTGAATTTTTTGAGTTTCAGTATTGGGGATTTCCCAGTTGCTCACTGTGTCAGAGCAGAGAGGCACTGCAAAGCTTAAACTGGGGCATCTTGAACTGGGAATGGCATTTTAGCTGGGAGTTTGTGATGTCAGCACTGCCAAAGTGACCAGTCCGGGCTGTGCTCCTGCTGGGAGTTTTCCCATCCCCAGGTGCTGCTCCCTGAGCTCATCCCGTGTTCCTCCACAAACCAAAGCCTGTGCCTGTACATGCCTGGGAATCCATGAGCCACTTTTCGTGCTGCCACATGAAAACACGTGTGTGAAAGCCACACACACCCTCCTGGCTTCATGTGGAGCCTTCTTGGTTCTCCCCTCGTGCTGCTGCTCCAGCGGCACCAGCTCTTCCCACTCAGGGGCACATCCTGTGCAATCGCCTTCCCTGGGCTCAGGCACTGCCAGCTGCTCCTGGACATGATCTTTCCAGCACACAAAAGCTCTGCAGCAGATTGGCACTGCCAGAGGGCGGGGTTAGGTGGGGATATTGGGAGAAATTCTTTACTCAGAGGGTGGGCAGGCCCTGGCACAGGTTGCCCAGAGAAGTGCCCCATCCCTGGAAGTGCCCAAGGCCAGCTTGGAGCAACTTGGGCTAGTGGAAGATATCCCTGCCATGGCAGGGGGGTGGAATTGGAAGGTGTTTAAGGTCCCTTCCAACTCCCACTGTGATTCCATGGTTATCTCCCAGAGGGCACCTTCCCTCTTGGTGATGCTCTGGTCTGTTTCCCTCCCCAGCTACACGGGCTACGTCCCTCAGTACACCTTCAGGTTTGGAAAAACCTACGGCAGAACCACCCACGATGTGCTGACAGACCCTGCCGTTGCCATGAGCCCTCGCTCCGTGCTGGCCCCGCTGCACAAGCTGAAAACCGTCAGTGAGTTCAGTTCCCTCCTTGGGCAGCCAGGTGGGCAGAGCTCGGGTCTCGTCCCCCCGCCAGGATGGACCCTGCTGATGAGCACAGACCTGCAGGGGGGCCTGTGCCCATCCTTGGTAGGGTGAAAGGGGGCATTTCCCTCGTGGTGTGGGAGCACAGACACTGGGAGGGCAGCACGGTGAGGGGTTGGAGCTCTCGGCCTCAGCTCTTGAGGGTGGGGATTGTCACGTTGGTGCCCAGTGGAGAGAAGAGTTTTAGCTCCCAGGTTGTCTTCAGCTGGATGAAGACAAGTGGTTTTGTGCCTCTTTATGAACTCACTCCCTGATCCTCCCAGATTCCTGTCAGGGTTTCCCCCTGGCTGGGTTAAACCCCCTGCAGCCTCTTGCTCACAAACCCAAAACGTGGCCCAGAGTAGCTACTACAGGGAAAATGACCTCTATCCCAGCCAAACCCAGCACAATTCCACAGGCTAAACCCCATCTTTCTGGGGAGGTTGACTCTCCTACCTCCAGTCCTTTCCTGACTGGGTTTGGTTTGGCTTCTTGCTGCTCCTCAGCTCAGCAGAAGGGTTCCTGTGCCTTCCATTTCCCTCCTCTCCTTCTCTTCCCCTCTTCTGCTGATGAGCCCCACCTCCTCCATCAGACACTGAGACCTGCTCATGTGGACTCCCAGTGCTGGGAATTTGCAGGAATATCCCACCAAATCCCAGTCCCTTGGGGCAGTGTCTGGTCCCTGCTGAGCAGATCCAAGCCAGGGCACAGCTCTGTGATCCTGGTCAGCCCCGTGGGAGCCCATTTGCCATCTCCCTGAGGCTGAGCTGTAGCTGTTGGGGATTCCTGGACAGTGGGACTGAGTCTTCTCCAGCCTGACCACAGGGATAACGTGCCCATGTGGGATCTGGGTCTTTATTTCCTCGGGGATGCTTTCCCATTTCTCCCTGAGAATTCACACCACATAACTTCTTCCAAACTGTCGTCCTCCCTGATTTCCAGGATCCAGCTCTCCACCACACAGATGGTGTTTACAGCCTCCATTCCTGGACATTGAAATTTGCATTTCCTCGGACTAAAATAGGGTTTGGACGGGCCCAACCAACCAGTTGACCCAGTTGCTCTCTCTCATTATCCCACCCTCACCCTGGTTCTCTCCCCATCTGCAGCTCAGAGCTCATGATTGCTGCTCCTCAGTGAGATACTGGAGAGAGTGGTGAATTCCCCATCAACAGCTCCTGCTGCCCAGCTGTGCAATCCCTTAAACCCTTCTCTGGTGCTGCCCTGGCTGTTCTATGATGGAGATCAATGAGCTCGTGGCAGTGTTGGGCCTGTGGTGGCCTCTGGCAAAGTTGGTCTCGAGACTTTTTCTCAAGGTCTGGTTTTGACAAAGCCTCGTTGATGGGCACCAAGGACTTTGCTGGCTTCTGTCAGCTGAATCCCACATTGTTTTCTGGCTGGAAGGGAGGTCAGGCTCTGCTGCTTGGGGATATTTTGCCTCTGGAGAGCAGGGACAGCACCCAGGGAATGGCTGGAGCTGTGTCAGGGCAGGCTCAGGTTGGATCTCAGGGAAAGGTTCTTCCCCCAGAGGCTGGTTGGCACTGAACAGGCTCCCCAGGGCAGTGGGCACAGCCCCAAGGCTGCCAGAGCTCCAGGAGGGTTTGGACAACGCTCTGAGGGACAGGGTGGGATTGTTGGGGTGTCTGTGCAGGGCCAGGAGTTGGACTGGACGGTCCTGGTGGGCCCTTCCCACTCAGGGCATTCTGTGATTCCATGGCATCAGCCAGGGCTGTGCTGGGTTATCCATCATCCACACTGGCACTGAGGAGGTTGTGGCACAGGCAGGAACCTGACCTGAAAATGTGGACATTTACTCAAATCAAATGCTCAGAGCTCTCCTGGCTTTTCATTTAGTGCTTCACTCTGCCTTTCTGAATCAATCAGTTTGCAGAACCCAGGGCCATAAGAAGGAGCTCATGTGGTTTTCTCAACTACAAAACAATTTAAGCTTCCTTTTGCTTTGGTTTGTGGGAGAAAGAGAGCAGATGCAGCATCCTCATTAATAATGAAGTAAGAAATAAGACAAAGTGTGCTTTAAATTTTGTACACTGGATTGAAAAATCCCTTTCATCAAGGATTTTTCTTTATTTTGTTGACAGCCTGGACACTTGATAATTCAGCTACATAGAGCAGATTATATCTACTTCACAAAGTTATATACAGTACATTTACTTTATCATACAATTATGAGCACATTGCAAACCCAAATGCCCACCAGAAGTTTATGCACTTGTGGCAAGGGGCAAATTTTGCTGTGCACTGTAATTCCCCAGAAATTGTGGAATCATTCAGGTTGGGAAAAACCTTTGAGTTCAACCATTAACCCAGAACTGCAGATGAACTGAGTCTCTCCAGATGGAGCCTTTGCTGGAAGATGGTGCCTCATCCCTGGGGCTTTGCCCTGGGATGCAGATGTCCTCCCAAGAGGAGGTCACAGGAAGGCTGTAGTGACCAGAGGGTGGAAAAATAATGACCCATGAGCACAAAAATGGAAGGAATTTGGTTTGTTTTAAAAAGACAAGGCTGAGATGGTCGCAGCTTTCCAACAAGGAAACGGTGGTTGTGGGGTGTAGGAGTGATCCTGCTCTGAACTGCTGAGGAGGGAGGAATGGGCTTCCCTGCTGGCACAGAGCACGAGGAGGTGCCTGGGCTGGGGCTCACAGGGGGCTGGGACACCAGGGGAGCCACGTCATGGGGGATTTTTAAGGGAAAATCAGGCAGAAGTTGCCAAGCCCAACTGTCCCTGCGCAGTGTGGATTGGTGGGGCTCTGTCCCTGGTTCACAGTGGAGATATTTAGCATATACTGGCTGTGGGATAAGATTTTTATGCCAGTGTTACAGCAGAGCCTTTCCTCGATGAGCAGCAACAGTGCCAGTGCCAGAATTCCTCGGTGGGGCTGTGTTTGGGGTGAGCTGATGCAGCCACGGGGAGTTTAGGATACAGGTTGGGTTTTATCACAGAATCACAGAGTATCCTGGGCTGGGAGGGACCCACAACGTCATCCAGTCCTGCACAGACACCCCAACAATCCCACCCTGTCCCTCAGAGTGTTGTCCAGACCCTCCTGGAGCTCTGGCAGCCTTGGGGCTGTGCCCACTGCCCTGGGGAGCCTGTTCAGTGCCAACCACCCTCTGGGGGAAGAACCTTTCCCTGAGATCCACCCTGAGCCTGCCCTGACACAGCTCCAGCCATTCCCTGCAAGTGCCTGGTCTTAGTGTGAATGTCCTGTACAGGCATTGAACCCACAACTGTGGTGTTTTTAGCACCCTGTTCTGACCAGCTGAGCTCATCTCTCCTTCCTCATGGCTTGGCTGGTATTTTAGAGTTTGGGTGACCCTTGGGAATACACGTAAAGTCATTTGACTTGTATTTGTGCAGGTTTTTTGTGCTGTTTTCCCTGATGGAGCTGATGGCGCTCACAGCCTGTGTGATGTGCAGGGAGTGGACTCTCTTATCCTTTTAATCCCTTCCAACTCAAGCTATTCAACGATTCTATGCTGTTGAACTCCAGCTTCCTTTCCCATCCTATAGAGGGACGTGGGGGGTGTCCAACACCACGGGAATCCCTCCCTGGGCCACTCCTTCCTCCTGACTCTCTCTGTCCCACAGGGTACTCTCCTTATGATGCTGCAGCAACCTCTCCCGAGCTGCTCCTGGGGCCCAGGCCCATCCTGCCGGGGCCGGGGCGGGCGCAGGAGGAGCCCATGATGGTGCACATGAACCCCACGCACTGGGAGCGCCCCGCGGACACGGCCGCGCCCGGCGCCCACCAGACCTGGCCCAACCAGTGGGGCCCAGGGGGGCTCTCCCTGCACCCTGCGGCCGACGAGAGGGAGAGGCAGCTGTCTGAGGTGCCCTTATCCTGCTGCCAGGGAAAAGGGCCTGGGTCCGGGCAGCTCTGCGGCCCCTGCGAGGCGAGCAGGGCGGTGAGTGGTGGCGCGGTGAGGGATGGGGGATTGGGGACTGCTGGGCGTGGGGGGATCTCCTTGGGGCAAGGGGGTGAGGGTGGAATCTCATATGGGTGTGGAGGGCAAAGGGCAAGGGTGGAAACTCTGGAGAGTTGCACAGAGGAAGGTCAGACACATCAGTGTTCCCAGCTACTACATCTTCTGGCAGTTGTTTTGATCGTTAGTTGTGATTCCTAATCAAAAAGGTTTCTCGTTTGGTTGGGCTTAGCTTCAACCCCAGTCACCAGATCCTGCTTTATGCTGGGCTGAGTGGATGCCCTTGGAGCCCTGATCCCACCCTCCTCCTGCTCCTGAAAACAGAGCCCTCCCAGCACCTTTGGTTACTGACCCGACCCAACCCGAATTTCCCACCATCGTTACCCCTCATTTAAACCCAGGTTTTGGGATTTGCCTGTGGAGCTGGGGCTGTTGAGCCTCCCACAGCTGGTGTCACTCTGGACCAATGTGTGCCTTGCATTCCCTCCCAAGCCACTGACAGCATCTGTCACGTTCCAGCAGCCGTGGCTCTGCAAATCCTCTGGAGGCAGAGATTAGAGGTTTGACGTATGGAGTCAAAAGCTGGCTTGGATATAAATCCCAAGAAGGGGTATTCCTGCTCCTTGCCCTCAGAAACAGATTTGCAGATGAGTTCATGCCCAAAGCCCCCCTTGCTCTCCATGGGGATTTTGCAAAGGTCTCTGCAAGGTCTGCTGCTTGCTCATCCTGTAACTTGACTTTACCAGAAATCCTTGGAATAGCTCTGAATACGAAGCTGGGAAGAACTGGAAATGGCAGTTGCCATTCCCAGGCCCTGGCAGTGATTTAAGCAATGGAGCCAAAGGGAAGAAGTGGGGTTTACTGGTGTTTATTTTATTTCTTCTCTATTAAACAGCTCGAAACTGGAGGCTTCACGCTGCCAGGAGGGGCTGAGATCCCATATGAGGAGCAAGAAGATCCATTGCCAATACTGCCTGTCCCAAATGCCATCCGACAGAAAGTCACTTTAGGTAAAAGGGAGAGGGGAGGTCACATGCAGCACGATGTCACCCTTTGTCCCCCATGGGGAAACCTCAGAGGCACCAGCTCCTTTGGGCACTTTGGGATGGAGGATGCCCCCGCTCCCCTCCATGCAGGGGTGTTTCCTTGGGGTGCTGTCACTCCTGTGGATGTGATGCTGAGAGCCAGTGGGCAGGTGGAAGGGATTCAGGAGCCACCTCAGCTCCCTGCAGGCTCCAGGCAGTGAGGAGGGACAGGCTCTGGGCTCTGTCCCACCCCAGTGGCTCTGAGCATCTGTTCCCACTGAGGCAGTCATTCCTCTCCCAGAAATAAGGTGTTTTCCTGAATCACCAGATCCACCCACAGGGGTGTGTGGCACCACCACAAAGGCATGAACCCCGTCCCACAAGGTTTACCTTGCTCTGGAAGAAGGTTCCTGTGCAGCAGCAGAACTGTGATGGGTGTTGGACTGAGCTCCCCCTCCAGGGTCCAACACCAGTGGGTGGGATATCTCACTCCACAGTGGCCCACAGGAACACAGGGATCACAATATTTCAGTTAAAATGAGAGAACAGCCATGCTTTAAGATGCAGAAGACAAATTTCCCTCTCCAAAGCATCCTTTTGGAAAGAGGGAGCTCTGGATGCTTTTTAGGTTCTACCTCTCTGTATCTTATGTAGTTTTAGACTTAATATAAGTTTCTTTTCTGGAAATGTGTTGGATGGGCAGAGCAGATGAGGAGGAAAGGTTGGACACCTGGTTGTTAGTCCCTGAATGGGTATTAAACTGGGAGAGAACGTGAAAAAGCTGTTGATGTAAAGAAAGACTGTAAGAAAATGGTTTTTCCATACTCTTGGAGAACAACAAAAATCACTTCAGCCCATTGTGTTTTCCTTGGGAATCATAAGAAAAAAAAACCTCTTTCAGAGAAGATATTTCAGGTGTAAGAGTTAATTTTACAGTTTAAATAGATTAATTTTTCCTTCCTATACTCTGAGGATTTATATCCATCCCAGGCTCCTCCACTTCCAGACTGGGTGGTCCTTAAATGATATGTGTGTTCTCAAGCAGAAAATGTTCTCTCTTGCCTCCATCCAAAGGGTACACTGGATTCATCCCCTGCTTCACCAACAATCTTGGTCTGACCTACATCCCGGTGTGAGGAAGGCAATGAAGGAATTTGACTACTACCAGGTAGATTACATAGTGCTGAAATAAGAATGTGCACAGTGTGGATGCTGATCCACCTGAATTTTCAGTGGTGGGATCAGAACTGGGTTATGAGTACAAGCCAAATCAAATGCTATTGGGTAATGCTGGGGAAAAAAAAAAAAAAAAAGAGTGATTAAATTCTGTAACTTGTTTCCTTGGGACATCAAGGGAGGATAAATGAGTTCATGAAAGGATTAAGCAAATCTGCTGAGGGCTGGGTCAAAGGTGGCTGTTAAAAACGTTGCTCTGAGTGCAGAAATACAGGATGCAATTCTCTGCACTTCCCTTATGGAATATCTCTTCCCCATCTGGATGGCAGTGCTGGATGGCTTCCTGTGCCGCTTGGGTGGATGTGTCTCCCTTTTAATTGGCTGCAAGGCTTTCTCCTTTACTAACATCATTTGTCTTAAAGGGACCTAGATCTTCTCTCTCCTCCTTCCGGGAGAAATATCCCTACGGGAAAACTGTGTTTTAAGAGCCACATCATGGGAAAATGAGATCCCTCCCACAGCAGTTAATAGTTCGCGTTCAAAGCTGCACATCCCTTCCTGCCCCTGGGGTGGAGGGAGACCCCCGGGATGCAGGGAGACCCCCGGGATGCAGGGAGACCCCTGGGATGCAGGGAGACCCCCGGGATGCAGCAGCATCTCTGGTCCAGCCCCGCTGAGCGCACATGAGCTCACTAAAAGCAGGCTACGACATTCCAGCCCTTCCTGCTCCCCGGGCCCCGCTGTCCTGCCTCTGATGTAGGAAAAAACATGCAAGATTGAGCATCCCCAGCTCAGAAAAATCAGCTGGGGAGGAATGAGTCGGGGGGCTGAGCGCGCAGGGCAGCGCCGTGCTTTGCCCGAGATGTGTTTCCCTGCTCCGGCTCCCTTCTCCTTCCCTGCTGCCTTCCGCGAACAGGAATTGCGATGAGCCACCAGAACAAACCCCAGGCATCATCCAAACTGAACGTGCTGTTTGCAGAGCCTTTCTGCCCCTTTGCAGTAAATCAGGGAGGAGGTGTCCGGGCCCGGTGGAATCCCGGCTGGCTCAGCAGCACCGAGGGAAAAGACACGCAAAAGGAGAGAGAATCACACCACAATTCCACCTAAGATGGCTTCTGACTGCAAGCCACTAATCTTCTGCCCTAAATCTCTGTTGCCCTAGGAGACGCGCGGGGCTGTGCCGTGGATCGCTGCTCCCCGCCTGCACCCGGCAAAAATCACCCCCTTCCCTCCCCAGCGCCGCGTAAAGAGCCGCGGCCACAAAGGGCTCCGTGGGCCCACGGTGTGACCCCCCCTCCGAGGGGTGGCACAGCTCCAGACACACCTTTAGGTGGCTGTGACACCCACCCTCCTGCCCAGCCCCGCGGAGAGCAGGGACACGCCCGGCAGATGATTTACACTCTCCCTTCTTATGCTCCCTAAGCCTTCCTGTTCCTCCCGGCCTGGGAATTACAGGCTAATTGCTGTTTGTGAGCACTCGTGGAAACACAGAAGGGGTCAAAGTCAGCACAGGTGTGCCCAGCTCCAGCAGGAACTGCTGGCTCACAGCAAAGCACGAGGCATTTAGGGCTTGGGGATGATGCCCAAGGTCTGCAGAGATCCTTGGGACTTGGACTTTTGCTGGGCCAGGACTTGCTCTGGGCACTGTCAGAGGCTGCTGCCAAGCAGAAAAATTTATGGAGTGCAAAAAGGAGAGATTTCAATGTGGCTTTTAATGATAAAAAAGCAGAACTGGAAAGAGAATAGCTTTATGTTGGTTTAAATATTTTATGTAATGTAGAGTCAAAGCACATGACTTTGGTAAAAATAGTATGTTTTAAAATAAACCGTTTCATGTTGGTGTGGGTTTTTTTTCCTTTTGTTTTCCCAGATTTTGAAGAAAAATCCACCTTTCACCTTGGGCATGAAATTTCCCCTGACACACTGGCCAGACACCAAAATCTACAACAGTGGTGGACTGAAACCTGCCTACACGGGCTTTGTGCCACGTAAGTTCATCAGCTGAGTGAAAGGTGAAAGTCACCAATACTAATTACTGTGCTAAGTAGTGCTGGTATTAGCTGGAGTGGCATGGAAGTGAACAGATGCTGAAATGTTGCACACAGGTAGTAGATTTTTTTTTTCTGGTCTGTGCCTGCTGTGGGAGAGCCCAGAATTCCCACTGCCAGGCTCACCAGGCCACAGTTCCAGCCACCACCCCCTTACTGAGGCAGGAGAGACTCAGTGACACCCCACTGGTCACATGTCAGGGAAGGGATTCTGTTCTGAAAAGCTTAAAAGTCTGAGAAAAAGCAAAAGGTAGATGATACAAAGGGGTTGAGATGGCACAAGAAGCGTGGGAAATGGGACTGGCCATCAGGACATGTGCCTGCCTGAGCCTTGTCAGGTCTTGGTGCTGCCTGAAAGGAGATGTCTGGAGGAATTCTGTGTGTAAGGGGAAGGTATCAGGCTAAATTCTCAACAAATCAGCAACTAAGACATTGCTGTGTCACAGCTCAGAAATGTGGGTGGGAAACCAGAGAGAACCAAACTCATGGCTTGTCCTTACTGCAGTGCAGAGGGAAAATAATACAACAGATAAAACGTGGAAGAATTGAAAGCAAAGAGTGGGGAAACCATCCTGGCAGGGCTGGGCTGTGGCTGATGGAGAGGCTGAGGCAGTGAGTGTGTCTTTAGTGAGACTTGCAGCAGGACCTGGGAAAGCCAGGCAGGAAAAGCCAAGCTGGACACCCTACCAGTCAGGGAGCAAGAAAAACCCACCCTAAAATCAAGGGCAAAAAACTCCTCAGTGTTAATTCAGGCTTTAGGGATCTGTTGCCATCTTTCCCCCTCCAGCCTGTTCTGTGCAGGTCTGACATTCCCACTTCCCTGCCTCAGGAGCCACCAGAGTCAGCACAGCTTTAACTGCTCCAACCAGTCTGGCTCTGGGTGGAGAAAATTAATTAAAGCAGAAAACCTTTAAACCAAAGCAGTTATGATTTAGAACCCTGACTGGTATTTCTTCAGCAGGGAAGCAGCCTGTTCCCTCCTGTCCAGCTTTGTCACTCCAGGTGACACTGAACACATCTTTTCCACAGCAAAAATGTGCTGTGTTAATAGACAGGGTTTTCATGAGACAAACCAATGTCACTGCCAGGTGTTCAGCTCACCCCAAAAGCAGAGGCTGCACCAACACCTGACTTAATTTCAAAACCCCTACAGTGATTTAAGCAGTGCTGTGTGCAGTGTGCGTGGGACAGCTTTGGTGTCACCTGTCCCCAGCTCGTAGGTGCCACCCAGCCTGTCACAGCTGTCCCCAGCACTCCTGGGCCCGGCCACAGCTCCCTGCTGGGTCTGTAGAGCTGAGGAGCTGCTGTGGACCAGCTCAGGGACACCCTCAGTGCTGTGGCACTCGCTGGCACCATTTCATGCCCAGGCAGCTCAAACCTGCAGTGGCCCCTTGGTGCCCAGCCCAGCAGCTGCTCAGCCCCTGCCAGGCTGCACAGGGACCTAAATTTAGCTACAGCTTGGAGCCAATCCCACCCTCCGTGTCACTGTGTCCCCCCTCCAGCAGTACCTGACCACAGTGGAATAGCAGGAATTTCTCCAATCCCCACAGCAGGGCTGTCACCGTGCCAGTGACACGGCAGGCGTCACCTGGCCAAGGGCAGCAGAGCAGGGGGGTTGCCACGGGGTGCTCGTGCCAAGTCTGCCGCTTTCCTTTTCCAGACCTCCGGGACTTGTACGCGCTCACCTATGGGAACGGCACCCGGGAAGCTTTCCGGAAAGAACAGAGGAGACGGGGCTTTGCACTGTGAAAACTGCTTTAATGGTGCCTGTACAGCATTGCAAGTGACTCGGAAACAGCAATAATAACACAACACGAACAGAACCTTTGAATGAGAGAGAGTTCATACAACTTTAAACAAAATTTACAGGTGTTCAACTGCATAGCTTTATTCTGCCTCCTCCTCAGCCTCCTCCTCAAACTCCCCCTCCTCCTCGGCCGTGGCATCCTGGTACTGCTGGTACTCAGACACCAGGTCGTTCATGTTGCTCTCAGCTTCTGTGAACTCCATCTCGTCCATGCCCTCGCCCGTGTACCAGTGCAGGAAGGCCTTTCTGCGGAACATCGCAGTGAACTGCTCAGAAATGCGTTTGAACAGCTCCTGGATGGCCGTGCTGTTGCCAATGAAGGTGGCAGACATTTTGAGGCCGCGAGGTGGAATGTCACAGACCGCTGTCTTAACGTTATTGGGGATCCACTCAACAAAATAGCTGCTATTTTTGTTCTGCACGTTGAGCATCTGCTCGTCCACCTCTTTCATGGACATGCGGCCCCTAAAGACGGCGGCCACCGTCAGGTAGCGGCCGTGGCGGGGGTCGCACGCTGCCATCATGTTCTTGGCATCGAACATCTGCTGGGTGAGCTCTGGCACGGTGAGAGCCCGGTACTGCTGGCTCCCACGGCTCGTGAGCGGGGCAAAACCAGGCATGAAAAAGTGCAGGCGAGGGAAGGGGACCATGTTCACCGCCAGCTTCCGCAGGTCAGCGTTGAGCTGGCCCGGGAACCGCAGGCAGGTGGTGACACCGCTCATGGTGGCCGACACGAGGTGGTTCAGGTCCCCGTAGGTGGGGGTCGTTAACTTGAGCGTTCTGAAGCAGATGTCGTACAGCGCCTCGTTATCGATACAGTACGTCTCGTCCGTGTTCTCCACCAGCTGGTGCACCGAGAGCGTGGCATTGTAGGGCTCTACCACGGTATCTGACACTTTAGGGGAGGGCACCACACTGAAAGTATTCATAATTCGGTCTGGGTACTCCTCACGGATTTTGCTGATGAGAAGGGTACCCATGCCAGAGCCTGTGCCACCACCCAGGGAGTGAGTAAGCTGAAAGCCCTGCAGACAATCACAGCTTTCTGCCTCCTTCCTTACAACATCTAACACAGAATCGACTAATTCAGCACCTTCCGTATAATGGCCCTTTGCCCAGTTGTTTCCTGCTCCGCTCTGACCTGGAAAAGAGCCATTTTCGTATTAGATTACGGTCACTGCTTCCTGCTTATTGCTTGCAAGCAAAGCTTAAGAGCATCGAGCTCCACGAAAAAGCTTTCATCTTATCGAGCGCAAGGGCTGTGGTTCCACACAGGCACCTCTGCAGTGGCTCAGCAGGCACACGGAAACATTAATTATCAATGATACAGCAGCCACTCCATTTCTCCCGGTGCGGCGAGGGAGGCGGCAGCGAGACTGAGAAAGAGCAACGACCTCTGGTGCCGCCCGGGAGCTGCTCCCAGCCGCAATCCCGGTGCTCCACGCCAGGATTAGCCCCGGCGGGGCCGGTCCCTCGGAGCATGTGCGGCGGGGCAGCCCCGCAGTGCCCGGCCCTGCCCCACCCCGCGGCTCCTCCCGCCCCCGCGCACTCACCGAACACGAAGTTGTCCGGCCTGAATATCTGCCCGAAGGGCCCGGAGCGCACCGAGTCCATGGTGCCGGGCTCCAGGTCCACCAGCACGGCGCGGGGCACGTACTTGCCGCCTGCGAACACAGCGAGAGCCGTCACTGCGGCGCCGGGGGGGGCGCGGGGAGCCCGGGGGAAGTGGGGGCGGCTCGGGAGGGGCCCGGCCCTACCTGTGGCCTCGTTGTAGTAGACATTGATGCGCTCCAGCTGCAGGTCGCTGTCCCCATGGTAGGTGCCGGTGGGGTCGATGCCGTGCTCGTCGCTGATCACCTCCCAGAACTGCCGGAGAGAAGCGCGTCAGGGCCGGCCGCGCCGGGCCGCCCGCGCCCCTCTCGCCCCACTTCTCCCCTCCCTCCCCTTCCGAAGCTCCCTGTCCCCGCCCGGACCTTGGCCCCGATCTGGTTGCCGCACTGCCCGGCCTGCAGGTGCACGATCTCCCTCATGATGGCGGCTGCTGCGAGCGCTTACTCGGATCCCAACCTTCCCCCAACCGACTCTGACTGCGTGAGGCAACCGCCAGCCCTTATATAGCAGCGGAATGCGCGCGCAGCCGCCTTTTCCCCGCCCGGGAGCCCACGCGCAGCAACGATTGGCTGCCCGTAGCGAGGCTCCACCAGCGAGACGATCCGGTTGGCCGCGCGGCTGTCACTCAAGCCGTCGGCTCCGCTTGGCCCCGCCCCGCTGTCTGTTGGCTTTGCCGTGGGGGACCCGCGGCCCGCGAGTGCCCGCCCCGCCCACCGGGCGCGCTCCCCATTGGCCGAATTGAATGATTGATGTCGCGGGCGATTGGCCGGCGGCCCCGGGGGATGAGCTCGCGCCGCCTGATTGGCCGCGGGGGCCGTGCCCCGGTAACCGTCGCAGTGACTCCGCAGCGGGCGCTGGGCGGTGGCCGCCGCAGCCGCCCCTTGGCGGGCGCCGTGTGCGCGCTTTGCGCAGCGGAGGCGGCGGCTCCTCCTCACTGCGGGACAGGTTCCCCGCGGGTCCACAGTGATGGTTCTCCTGTTTTCCCCCGTCCCGCTCCCCGCCGGGCCCGTGTGCGCCGCAGCGGCTCTGGGGGGAGAGGAGGAGGAGGGCGGCAGGGCCACCCCGTGTGCGCACGCGCGGGCTGCGGCGGCGTTCCAGCACTTTCTGGCGCGCGGCCCCGCCCGAGGGGCGGCGGGACCGCGCGCGCGCGGCCGTTGTCATGGCGACCTCGCGCGCGCTCGCGCCCGGGGAGTGGGGGGGGCGGGAAAAGGAGCTGGGGCGGGACATGGCGGGAGGGAGGGGGGGAAGTGTGAGGGCACGGGAGTCTGTGAGGGGCTCGGAGGGCTTGGGGAGCTGGGAAGGGAGCGTGAGGGCTTGGAGGGCTGTAAGGACTCGGGGCTGTGAGGGGACTGTGAGGTCTTGGGGAATCTGAGGGCTATGAGGGACTATGAGGGCTCGGGGAGCCTTGAGGGTTCTGGGGCTGTGAGGGCTTGAGGAGTCTACTGTGAGGGGGGAATTTGAGGGGCCGTGAGGGCTCAAGGGGCTGTAAGGACTTGGGGGTCTGTGAGGGGAATGTGAGGGCTCGAGGGGCTTTGAGGGCTCAGGGCATCCAACCATTGTGAGGGGGCCATGAAGGTTCATGGGGCTCTGAGGGCTTGGGAGGCTGTAAGGACTCGGGAGGCTGTGAGGGGCTATGAGGGTTTGGGGGTCTGTGAGGGGAGTGTGAGGGCTCAGGGGGCTGTGAGTGTTGTGCTGTGAGGGCTCAGGGAGTCCAGCCATTGTGAGGGGGCCATGAAGGTCCATGGGACTGTGAGGGCTCGGGGAGGCTGTGAAGGGCTGTGGGACCATGAGGGCTCTTGGGCCAGGCTGAACCGTTCAGTGCCAGCTCCCCTGCACTGTGAGGGTGACTGTGTGAGGTGGGTGCTGCTCACCAGGGCTTCCCCTTGGTGGCCCCTCCGTCCCGAGCTGCATGTGGGTGCTGCAGCCCTGTCACGAGGCAGCCGAGCACCCCAGGCTGGAGAAACCACCCTCACCTTTCCTCTGACCCTTATTCCCAGCTTTGTGAGCACATTCCTGCCCAGACAGTGCGTCCATTGGTCACAGTTTCTATTAAACACACTTTGATTCCTGTTTCAGCAGAGCCTTTCTATGATTATATGTATCCATGGGGATGCCAGCTGGGTCTGCAAGTCCCAGCATCTCTTCTTGTTTTCACGCTGTAGCAAAAACTTGAAAGAGGCTCCTGGAGCTGGGGAGTGTCACCCTCCTGCCTGGTTAGGCTGAGGCAAAGGCAGCGGTGACCTCAATCCTGCCAACACACAGAGCACACCAGGCCAGCTCTGTGTCACTCGGGCGTTCATGTGACACGCAGGGATGTTGTGGCTTGTGCCCATATCCCGGGATCTGTGCCTGGATAACGATAATCCAATCCTGTGCCTGCGTCAGGCGAGGAGGTGGCCGGAGAAAAACAGCCCTGTGGAGGTCGAGTAGCCTCTGGTTGTTGGCTGAACATAAAGGTTGCGGTGATCGATATTTCTGGCATGTAAACATCATATTGCCACAGAGGTGCTGGAAGGAGTCCAGGAACACTTGGAGCAGCCCTGGAGAGCCTGGAAGGAGCCCCAGAGCATCAGGATCCTGAGAGGATCCTGGGACAGGCCTGTGTCAGCCTCAGAGGGGCCCAGGGAGACACACACAGCTCATCCTTCACATCTGAAACCAGAATGCAGGAGGTTTATGCAGTTTCCTTTGAGATAGCTGAGTAATGCAGAGCCATTAGGGGCCAGATTTATCCACTAATTACAGGCATTGATTGAATAGCAAACCCTGGGCTGTGTTCACACTGGAATCAGTGGAAAGGGTTGGCTTGGCCCACCCCAGCTCTGAGCACCACTGGCAACACATTTCTGTCCTCTGTAATGGTGTTTGATGTGACCAGTTCCAAAAACTGCAGCATCATTTAAGTACCAAAGGCAGCCAGGATGAATCTGGGCAGGACTTGCTCAAGATTTCATGCGAGGCTGTACTAATCAGTAAAGACAGCTTTTCCTCCAGGATGTGATGCCACCCCTTCAGAGCAATGCACAACAGGGATGCAGTCTTCTTTCTGATGGAAGGCAGGGCATGGAGAATGCCTTGCCTGTGTTGTGCTCTCCAGGAAAATACATTCAGCATCAATTCTCATCAGGTGTGCTTAGCACAGCGTTCACAAACGTGTGCACTCAGGAGGCCCTGGAAAACCCTCCCTAAAATAAAGCAGGGCTTGGAGGATGTTTCCTAGTACAAGTGCTGCTGGATTTAATGCAGATACAATTGGGTGTTTTTATTCAGCCAGGCCCAGAAAGCAAAGGCCTGCACATCAGTGCCATCTGTGTCCTCACTTCCTTAGCAATCCTGAGCCTTTGTGCTTCCCACAGCCTGGCCTCAGCCAGCGCTGCCTTTCATGTTTGGGAAGCTGCTCTGTAATGTGTGGAGTGAGCAATGGTTGCCACCCCCAGCATTCCCAGAGGCACTGTGAGAGTGGGAACCCTCTGCTCAGTGAAGGCTCCAGTACCTGTCTCCAGAGCACCAGCAGGATCTCTCCTGCAGAGCAAGGGTAGGACCCTGTGGGTAGTTCAATTTTGAGCTTCCAGAGGTTTCCCTGGGAGATTCAGCCACCTGAATATCTATGGGATAGGAGGCATTTCCAATTATTTGTGCAATATTTATTTTTGCTAATTCTAGCCCAACCAGTGAGTACTTCTGTTCTTAGCTACAAGCACATCTACAGGAAATGACAATTCTATTTGAAATATTTTTGCATTTAAAAAAAAAAAAAAAAAAAAGCCAGTACTTCCAAGCTCTCTGTGAGGAGGAACACAGGAATCTGAGCCAGGAATCTCCATGGAGAGCTGCTGGAGCTGCTGACCATCTCAGCCCTGTGACTTCTGAGGCTGTGGCACCACTAATTAGTGGGTGCCAGAAGGTGAGCTGGCAAGTGCCACGGCAGGTCTGTGCCAGAACCTTGGCTCACACGAAACATTCCTCCCAAGGCAAACCCTCTGTATGAAACACTGAACACTGGGCAAATTCTGGGAGAAAAAGTTGCACATTCCATGGTCCTGCCTGAGCAAAATGCTGGAGTGTGTTTGTAAATGGTCGCTGGTTTGGTGGAGTAGGGAATGCTGGAAAGCAACTAGAAGGGCAGAGAAGGGAACAGCTCGACCAAGGTGGCTCCCACCTCGTGTTTTCACTGCAGACATCTGTCTCAGCTGGTGTTTGGTTTCTTTGAAAGCTCTTCTCAAACTGCTGTGAGCAACCAGCAAGGAGGTTTCACCTCATTTAGGTGCTTCTGCAACTCCCAGCTGTAGGTTTGCTGCATCAATTAACGCTGTTAACAGGCTACTAGAAAACATCAGGGGCACTGTTACGAGGCCAAAGACCCTGGGTATAACCCGTAGAAAAACATGATAATGAAATTAAAGCTAAGTTGAAACTTGCATTTCTGTTTCATTGAGGGGTTTCCCACTTTTTATTGTGATTGTTTGGTTTGGTTTTGTAACTATTTTTACTACTTTTAGCTTGGAAACAGATGTTACTGTAAATACAACTGGTTTGAGGGTAGGGGGGAGGGACTTTCTTTTAACTTTTGAGCATTACCTGCCCCTTTTGCTGAACCAGTGTTCTCTGAGTGTGTATTGAGCTGCTCCCTCCCCTCAGCAGGCAGGCAGCAGCTGTCAGTCTGCTCTCGGTGCTTAACCAGCAAGATAGAAGTCTGTGTCTGAAACAGCACCTAGTCTGAGCTGAGCCTGTGCCTGGGCTTGCAGGAGCCCAAACAGAAATCACAGAACTAATTCTGGCTCTGTAGGTAAAGCCATGACTTCCAGGGGGGGACACTGCAGGACGAGGCAGGGTGGGAGCAGCTGGTGTTGGGGTCATTCCAGGTTTGTGGGAACGCTGAAGTGGGACGTGGGTATGTGCAGATGTTTTCTCATTCTACTGTTTCTGATTGTTACTTCTAAGGATAAACAAGCTTGTTTTCTAGAAATTATGCTGCTGAGAGACCAAAGTTCCTTGAAGTGAGGGGCTGCTTCCAGAGACTGGGGAGTGAGGGGTGCAGCTGTGGGATTCCTGCCTGAGAGAAACCAGAATGGCTGGATGGGATCAAGCCACAGGTCCACCCAGACCCATATTTTGTCTCCAATGATCTGCAGCAGTTACCAAAGAACAGGGCAGACAGATCTGGATGTGGCAGGTGGTTCAGGCAATTCTTTAGCCACAAGCAAGTAACTTTTTGTTTAATAGCCCTAATGGGTTATTATGAATTTATCTAATCCCCTTTTGCAGCCATGTAAACTTTGGGCACAGACAACCTCCTGTGCTGATGAGGTTTAACCACAAGCTGTGTGGAAGAACGAGCTCCTTCCATTTGGTTTGATGGTTTCCACTGAGCTCCTCTGCTCAGAGGGCCGTGAGCCTGTCCCTTCTAACTTGCACTCCAGGAGTGTTTAACATTGTCAGTGATACTGTCAGACAGAACAATGTTAAACCAGACTTTGAGTGATTTAAGGTTCA